CACGTGTGTTGAGAAAGAGCAATCATAAATATCCAGAGTTAAAATTTGATTTTCATCACTAGCATGGATTTTTTTCTTGGAGAACCACTGACCACTTATTGTTAAAAGGATCACTGACATAAAACATTTGTTTTACTTGGGAAGTCGTGATGAAATATTCATTCATATAAATTGTTTTATGAATTTTAACCCGTGTGAATCCTATTTAAAAACTTATAAATGAAATGTGGGACTCCTTTCAAGTTATCTATGAAGAAACATATGAGGTAAGAGGGCTAGAATGAACACATTAACACATGAGTCTAAACTCTTCAGAATGAAACATAAAGAAAATTTTATGATATGCAAAAACAATTCATTCACATTGTGAATCACATTAGAACTTTGAGAAACGTATTTCAAATTGAGGATTTGGTTGTAAAAGTCCTTATATCCTAAAACCGTTATTGGAAACCTAAAATCACTGCAACTTATAAATCCAAAGACTTGTCTTTTCTACAAATTTGGAGACTTTATTTAGTATATTACAGGAACACAAGAAGAATCTAAAAAGGCTAGTTGATGATGAAGAAGGTGACAAAAAGAAGAAGAAAATTATTGTGCTATTAGTTTAAAATGTAAAATACACGGAGTCAGAAGATGAAGAGTGTCAAAGTAAAAGTGATGAAGACATGAAATTCATGTTTCACAAATTTAAGGAATTTATAAGGCACAAAAAACTTTAAAATTTCAAAAGAAACAAGATGATCAACATAAGAAAAAAATAAGGCCTTCAGTAGTTCCTACATGCTAATAATGTGAAAAGAAATGACACATAAAATCAAAATACAATCAAAACCAGAACTAGAGAAAGAACAATAACTAGAATCAAAGAAAGTTCAAGAAATATCAAAAGGAAGCAAAGAAAGATTACATCACATAGTATGAAAATTACATGAAGTCCTCATATGATAAAGAAGCAAACATCTATCTCATGGAAAATCATGACAAAGAGGTAACTTTAAGTTTCTCTTATGATGATTTATATCATATATGTAAGAAATTGAATAAAGAATGAAGAAAGTTAAAACACCTTGTCTCCCCCTCTAAAACTATATCTTCCCTTGAATTATAAAATAAAAATTTGTTGGAAAAAATATAAATTTTTAAAGAGAGACAATGTATTTTAATTCAAAGTACTTCCTCTTTATGAAGTTTTACCTGAATGTACCACTACATAAAATTGTGTGAATTGTTATGGTTTTAACCATCAAAATTAAGAAAAATGGTATTTTAAAAAACAATGTAAATTTGGCTATAGCTAGGTAAATAATGGCGGTTATAAATAAAATGTCGTGCTAACCTTTGTTTTATACATAGTTTAAAGTGACAGTTTTAGTTTGAAAATAGTGTCGGTTTTAAAGGTCATATAATTCACATAGAAACAAATATCCACATAGCTAGTTTCACTACAATGGAAAACCCCTCTCACAGCGGTTGGAAAAAGAGATACCATCATGATTGGCCAACTATTGTGAGGTATGTCGTGGTTGTAAGTATGTTATTTTCTACCACGGGTGTCTGATCGTTGTGATAAACTCGGTAGCACGCTACCTATCACAACGATTATAAATACTAACTGTTGTGATATACATAGGTAATTGGTTCGAAACCCAACAATATCAATTTAATTAGTGCGAATAAAATTAACATTTCACCACGATTATATATTCCAACTATGGTGGTATATATATGAGTTTATAATAAAATATGTAGTTTTCTTGTTTTTCTTGACCTCTCAACAAACATATATCATCATTCAAATTGATTTAGAAGATAATAATCTGAAAAACTAAATTATTATTGAAAAAAAACCTTAGACGTTCCATTATTTTTCCAATTGCATGCATCTTATAATTCATCTATCGTTCTTTAACATATAGAATTTTATTTAATTTCACAAGTTCTTCAAAGCAATGATACATTCTCTTATAGTTTATTTTCCAAAGCAACAATTTGTTGACTAATTTCAAGTCATCGTCATCACTATCATCATCATTATTTTAATCGATGATGATGGTTATTATGATGACAATGATGTAGATGATTCAAAATTTCTCAACAAATTTGATGTTTTGCATTATAAATTATAAGATAATGAATTGTTACTTTGAAGAACTTGAGGATTAAACTAAATTCTATATGTTAAAGAATGAGAGAAGAATTATAATATGCATATAATTAAAAAAACATTGATTTATCTAAGTTGGTTTTCAAATATAACCTAATTTTTCAGATTATCATTTTCTAAATCAATTTAAATGAAAGTATGTTTATTGATGGTTTAGTGAAACAAACAATCTACACGTGATATAATAAACTCAATTGGAATTAAAAAATGATGCAAAAATTTTGAACAATAACAACATATGAACTCATAAAACGTTTCACAAATGTACATTTTATTGAAAATATTTGTAGAGAATGAAGACATAGAAATTATCTATTTATCTTTGAATGACTTCCACAATGAATAGAGGATGAAGTTAAAGTGAGAGCAGCAAATTTGGGTCTCCTGATCTAGGACTTTCACACAAGTTTACAGCTTTTACATTTGCTTCAACCTCCTTGAACTTTTTCTTCATATTGTTTTAGCAAAATCAAAGATTTAAAGATTTAAAGTGATCTTGAGTCACGGTTGTAAACTTTCACATCAATTTTCATTACTGTTGTAAACTTCGTCATCTTTAATCATATTGTTTTAGCAAAATCAAAGATTTAAAGTGATCAAATAGATACAAATCAAATTACTTAAGCCACCTTAAATCTACTTACGCTAAAAGCTCAAAATGATTTGGATACCTAAGGTCAAAAAGTCAAATATTTGTGATGCAGATATATTTGAAAACTCAAACTTATTAAAATATAATAGTGGTGTTCAAATCATATGATCAAAGATATAAATCTTATATTATTTTACTCATAAAAGAGGATAAGCTTCTTGGTATAGTAACAACAAATATAAAATTAGTGGTTCAGGAACTATTGGAAAAAAAAACTCTAAATCTGCTATTGAACTATTTTTGATAATCGCAAGTTTATAACACATTTTACTTAGTATCAAATAAATTGTGTGACAAAGATAATATAGTATGTTAAAAAAATTTATATGTGCAAGGTCATTTAAAACTTAGAGAAAGAGATGAGAGAACCTACACCTAAGTCTCTGTTCTGACTTGATCCCACTGGTATCTTGAGCATTGGTCTGTGCAATGATTGAGAAAATCTCTTACCTTATTTGTAGACTTCCACACAACATTAGCAAGCTCAATTTGGAGAGAAAAGCCTCCTTCTTTTTCACTAGAATTGTCAAACCCAGGCATAACACCAGACACCTTGTGAACCTCTTCAAAGAAACGTTAAACTCAACAAATAAATCTCCTCAACAATCACTAATCTCCAAAAATAAGATTCACATCCATAAAAAAATGGAGAAAGAATGAGGTAAAAGATGAAAGAAATAGTTTGCAAGTGTTCACAAAGATTCAAAAACTCTTTTGAAAATATGAAAGAACATGTGGTTAGTGAGTTCTCCAATCAACATTTGAAGTATGTGTTTTTTAATATTGTAAAGGTTTTGAGAGAAAAATGATGTTTGACTTGAGATCTAACACAAAAATGAATGAAAAGTGGTGTTTGATTCAAGTCACGAGCAAAAACTGTGATTTGAGTCAAAGAGCAAAGTGATTAGAATCAAAATATGAAACATATGAGAAATCCATATTTATGATTCGGGTCATGATTCAATTAATGGTTCGAGTCATGAATATGTATGATTAGAATCAAACAAGACTAGGCAACACATGGAAATGGAGTCTTTCATGATTCGAGTCAAGTGTAAGCCATGATTTGAATCAAATGGTGTTATAATTTGAATCAAATCTAAGTTGTGACCCGAATCTTGACAGCTTCTAACAATTCTTGCACTCTTTGTTTCAATTGATTCGAGTCATAAGATGTGTGATTCGAATCACACATATATAATCTTAACTTTTTGGAAAATTAAATTTGTTTTCAAATGTTATCAATGTAATGACTAAAACAAAACTCATATATAGTTTTTGATCCAAAAAATTCGACAAATTAACTTAAAACATATATTTTACACTATAATCAAACACTTTGACTTATACATGCTAAAATACATATCTAAAACTCAATTCAGAGATGCGCAATTAATGAAGAGGCTCATTGATATGCAAAACTACAAACCAAAAGTTTAATATACAAACAAGAAAACCATAATCGTTAAGGTAGCAGAGACATGCAACATTATTTTGAATCTTTACTAAATTCGTAGACGTTTGAGAATTCTGAATCTCACTTTCTTAAAATCCTTATTTTTACTCTTCAATCTCATGATAATCATTTTTCTTAACATCTTAGATTAAATCTTAAAATGAAATCAATCATCTAGTATCATCTAAATGTTTTGTATACCCTCATCCCCAATCGGTCTTTCTCCATAATGATTGAGTGTTATTTTTAGCTCATTTACTATTGTTATAGTAACATTTACTACATGGTGATTAGATTTTTCTGGAATAGAAAGTGACCTTTTTGTTAAGTTTTCTTGAGTGACCGATAACATCACATGCCGTATTATTATCACCTAATAATATTCTCTGCCGTCAACAGCTCTTGTTGACTTAAAATATTGAGATGCTTTCTTTAAGATAACATCACATGATACATAACTTGCCTAAAAAAATCACATTATATACATTCCACATTCCCAACTCGAGGGAGGCACGTGTATGTGTATCCATAATTAGATACCATTGTATCTTGCTTTGTATTTTTCTGACTAGATGTATTGGACCTTCTTGATGCTGTACACATTTCAAGAAACCAAGATTATCCTCACGTGCTGCTATAATCTATTATAATAAAGAGCAAACATGGGAGTGAAAAGTCTCCATCTTCTTTGTTGCTTTCTGAGTTAAACCTAAGTTGTAACAATGGAGGAAATGAAGACACCAATAAACATATCAGCAGACAGCAGTTGGTTATCTGATTTGGTAAGTACTAAGGAGTTCAAAGCAAATCCATCCTTCCTTTTTTTTCTTTATTCAACTAGTGTTTACTTTTTGCAGGAAATGGTGGATGAATACATACTATATGATAAGGACCGCAACTTGAACTCGAACTCGAACTTGCTTGATCTTGATGAAGAAGAAGAGTTTCTATCGCATGATATAGCTAGTGTCTTTGCCTTTGAGGAGCATAGAGAGAGCCTGCAACAATGTTTAAATACAGAATGCATTTCCACAACTCTGAGCGAAACATTTACAGATGAAACGAGTTTTGAGTCTTTTGATAACTTTGATTTTGATTTTGAGAAACCAACTAAACAGATGAAAACAATTGATCACAGTGCTACTTCACTATCCTCTTATCATTTGCCTCCGATCTTGTCTTTTGACAATCCAAACCCAACTGAATTTTATAGGTATGATCTAAAACAGACAGAAACAGTGACGAAGTCACTGGGAAACACAAATTTTTTAACTCAAAATTCCAAAGGGTCTTCAAAAACATCACGAGCTAAGAGGTCTCCAGCTGACATAAAGGATCACATTATGGCGGAGAGAAAGAGAAGAGAGAAGCTCAGCCAAAGCTTCATTGCTCTTGCTGCTCTCATTCCGGACTTAAAGAAGGTATGTGATATAAATGTTATTGTTATCTATTTAGCAGCATTCTATGTGTCTGTAATGATTGTAAGGTGAAGGATGACATTCTATATAAACTCTTTCAATACACTATCTCCGACTAATGTAAAATTTGAGATTTTCCCGATACTAATTACAAAGCATGTGTAAATTCTTAGATGGACAAGGCTTCGATATTAGCAGAGACGATCAAATACGTCAAAGAGCTTAAGGAGCGTTTGGAGATTTTAGAAACGAAGGGGAAGAAACCAAAGGCAGATCAGTCTACGGTAACTCCGAGTCCAATAAAACCAGAGGTCTATAACAACAAGCATTGCTCATCATCTGATGAGAGTACTGAAACTGAAACTGCTGTTGAAGGTACTTCCACTGAATCTCTCTTCAAGATGGAAGCAAGAGTTTTAGAGCAACACATGTTGATTCGGATCCATTGCCAAAAGCATAAAGGGTTTCTTGTTAAAATCATCGCCGAGATTCAAAGTTTTGAATTGTTTGTTGTCAATAACAGTGTTCTAGCTTTTGGTGATTCTATCCTCGACATTACCATCATTGCTGAGGTAAAGGATAGAAGACTCATAATTTTTTTCATTAGTTCTTTCTTTATATTACCATCATTTGTCGCCATTGCATTGTTTGTATATGAATGTTAGTATTATATTATTGTACAGATTGGTGAAGGCTACAACTTGACTATAAAAGAACTCGTCCACAATCTACGTATGGCGGCATTGAAGTTTATGTCAGCGTAACATGAACAAGGCAGGAGTGCTGTTGTGGGGTGCCTCTTGACATAATACGAACTAGTACTCTCACAGAGAGCAAGTAGAGAGTTTGAATTTGCAAGAATTTCTTTCAATAATAAAGTATTTTGAAGAGAATGTGTCTCAAATTTTGGGATAGCTTAACTTTTCTTTTAAAATGTAGTTAGGCTCACTACTCGTTGTCGAGTTTGTTTAAATAAATAATATTTACCAAGCAATATGATAGTTTCTCGTAGGATTGTTCAAAAATAAATTATAAACTAAACCGAATTATCGAATTATAAACCGAATTATCAAATTGAATCGAAGTTAAAATAACGGAACTGTTATATTTGGTTAGTAAATCAAATCATATTGTACAAACAGTTTTAGAACTGAATCAAAACTGAAATCAAACTAAACTGAACTGAACCGAAACTGAAAATGAAAAAAAAAATATGTTTTAACTTTTTTATAAAAATATTTTAAAAATAGTTTAATAGTTCAGTTCTTTAATAAACGATTCGGTTTGAGAAAATTTACTTTCTAACGGTTCGGAATTTCAAAACAGTATCTCAAACTAATGATTATGGTTCGGTTCAATTCAAAATAAATTGAAATAGTTCAGTTCAGTTTGAGTAAATTTTTAATATAGTTTGTTTCGGTTCATTTCAGTTTTCTCTATGAACAACCCTAGTTTCTGGGTTTTGGTGTACAAAGTCTCTCAATGTCAAAGGTCGAATATCAAACTTTAAGAAAAAAATAGTTTAGCAATATCTGAATATCTCTGATGCATAAATTAATTTTGATTTCTGGATGAGTAATTTTTTATGGTGAGTAATTTTTTATGGTGGTTCCTTTTCGCTTGTCCGATATATGGTTGTTCCTAAATTTGTTGAGGCTTCCTTAGATGAACTAAGGACTTGTCTTTTTATTAAATTATTTATGTTTGTAAATGGTCGGGAATCTAGTGATAAGGAGGTTAAAAAATATCTCAACTTCCTGAGTCGTTCAATAATTCATGGCAAACTTTTTCTTTTGCAATAGGGACATGGTTCAAAAAGAATGGTTTTCTTCTTGTACTGATGATGTCATTTAGTACCATTGGATGGAGGCGAGTTTAATAAGAATGGTTTTCTTATACGTCGTCACCCAAAGTTTGAAGGGTGCCGATAGAGATATGGGGCCTTCCTTCAATTAGCTTGCTTCCCATGTCGACCCCAACAAGAAGATATGTAGCTCTTTTAAAGGATGTTCCATATCTTTTTATGAATTATGTTCTCCATGTTGAGATTCAAATTTCCTTTTAACATTTCAGAGGGGAGAGTATTAAATCATTTTAGAATCTCTCTTCCTCAACTGCACCAAGTAGCATGGGCCTCATTAAGTGATTTCAGTAATCATGCAAGTACTGGGGAAAAGTGTCGAGTTTGAGAATATTCTTCAACATCTTCAACGTGACGCCAACTTCTGCTAGCGAAGATCAAGGACAAGGGTTTCTTTTCTTTATCATCCATTGAATATGTTTGATGTTTACCTTGAGAGGTGGATAAAATTTAAGGACCTTTACCTATTGGTGAGCCTTAAGAATGAAGACACTCACTCAAAATTTTGCATCCTTCCAGAAGAAGATCCTTTCCTACTTGGCCCTCCATGTTCGGAACTAGTGAAATGTATGGACAATATTCTAAAATGTTGGGCTCGAAACCATATTTTACACGCTCCAAAAACATATTCCTTAGCTTGTGGCTCTTTGACCCTAGAGAAAAAGTCATTAACAGATGACTTAGTCTACTTCTAGGAGAGCTTGGGCTACAAAGAGAGGGTTGGCCCGTCAGATGAGAATTTGTCAGTTGGGAAAACACAAGTTGCTTAGGATAGGGGAGAAAATATGTTTGACCTAGGGCACACGTCATCAAAAAATCGAAGCAAAAAGTCTCATGACTTGGACAAACTGCTAATAGGTAATGCGGAAAAAATCAAGCTAAAGGGGGTAATCCTCCCAAAAAAAACTAAGCCATCAGGGCTTTCCTCTGAAAGTGTAACCATAGGTGTCGATCTATCTGCTCTTCTCGCCTTCATGCTTCTAGATGTGTTCGTATCTTGAAGGCCTCACATTTCCAAGTAAGTACAGTCTTGCACTCCCTAAAGGAACTACGCCTACATTCATAACCTTTATAATGCATGTGAGTTGGAGCTAATGGGGGTGACATACTTCAACATGTACAATAATGTTTCCTTGTTGTCATTTGAGGCTACTGGTCATGGTGAAGTATTTGCGTTTGGTAACCCTTCCAAGGAGAAAGAGCTTCTAAAAGGCCAACATAACCTTGTTGTTTATAAATGGAACTAGCTTCAGTCTAAGAGAAACTTGTTTGTCTTGAAAATACGTGGAGATTCATTATGTCATCTCTGACCTTTCCTCGATTGTATCCTTCCTGAAAATATCCTTTGTAGAGAAGTAAAAGGCCCTTAAATAGGTTCACACTTATTGGTCCAACCTTAAGACTTTTCGATAAACATTGGCTTCTAAGGTCAAGGAATTCAAGACAACTATTACAATATTTCACCATAATTAGAAAAGGGATACAATCATAGTTGTTAATCTGTGGTAAGGTAGAGCATGGTAGTACGTATGTTGCTTTGCACCAATGATGTGTGACCGTTGTGAAAAACTAGGAAGCGCGCTACATATCACCACTATCACATTAAGTAACCTTGGTGCAATAAGATTTGATTTCCAATAATACCATGGTATATAATATTAAGCGCACCATGTTTCACCATGGTTGTCTAGTTTAACCGTAGTGAAATACTTTGTTTTTTTTTAAATAATTTTTTTAATATTCCATATATGCTCCTTTTTTTAGTGCCTGTATTGTATACCATATTTGCTTCCACCAGAAAATAAGAACAAACAAGTAGACAAAATTTTCTAACCAAATTATGGCTTAAACTGCTTATATATACATTATATGTAACCACCAAAATATGACTTCAATATAGTACCAAAATATTAAACAATCCTAAATATTACTTACATCCATCCCAAAAATATTGTAAACATATATTACAAAATAAATTTCATGACTCTACCTTATAAAGCGCATTGAAGCTAAATGTCTAACGTGCATGAACATCTTTAAAGTCTTCTTGTGATAATGGTGTAGTATCGTTAAACATCTATATAAAAAGTTGACGGAAATAGAAAATTACTTGATTCGAAATAATAACAAACTTTTATGCATGCAGTATAAATCATTAATATTTTATTGTAAATATATATATATGATCTCAAGAATCAACAATGTCGACAGAGACAATGTTTAACACGTGTTTCATGACATATAAACCATATTTGTATCCTCCTTTATGTTTTCTCGCCTACAAATTTAGACATTCCATGAACATATAACCACACATGTAATTATAGATAAATGAATGTCACAAGTAATCCAATAACTAAAGGTGTAAAAAATGCATACCTTTTATTTAAAACTCTGTTCAACATAATATGTCGCTCCACAACACTATATATTAAAATAATTTAAACATATTACATTCTAAGCTAATTACAAATTAAAATAAAATATTACTAAAATTCTCCTTAAATATAAACTCAAGTACTAAGTAGATGTATCATCTTTAATTCAAGTGGTTTGGCCAAGAAACATAACATGATTACCATATTTGTTCGAAGAGAGATGATGATTAATTGTTAATGACCACTAAATGAACACAAGTATAATTAGTATTTGGTAAAACATGGAAACTAACTATAATAGAGAAACCAAAATTTCAAAATTACTCAGAAATTAATAAATGGTGCTAAGTAACAGTCTTTATTCTCCTCTCTTAACCATGATGATATGAATGATTCAATCACTTTTAGAGAATAATCTGTAAATCGAATACTAAATAGATCCAAGAATCCATAAATATCTTATTTATTTAAGTCTATAAAAGCATAATGTATGTATCTAAATGGTCAAACAAAATTTAAAAAATAAGTCAATCTTATAATTAAAACTGTTGATGTGCACATACAAATTTAAAATTGACATTTATTAGAATAAAAATTGTAATAAAGCCCACCACAACTATAGTATCCCTGTCTCCAATCTCTCATTTCTAAAAATAAAATCGCTTATGTCTTTAGGATCGATATAAAAAACCTCTAACTCTCGATCATGCTCTAATTTAAGAGGAAATTAAGATTTGGTATGTATTTGTGTGTTCTACTGTGATTTATTTGTTTCTTATGAATATTCTGCTGCACCTAGTTAATCAGATTCTGAACAGTGACTTAGAATCTGAACTCTGTTCAGAAGCATAGATTTTAGAGAACACAATTCAACCTCCTTTCTTGTATATTTTTGTCACCTTCACACTCCACGACTGAATGGAATTCCAGAAAGCTTGATGACAAGTCGAGTCAAATGTTCCTAATATCATTCAATTGGAGGATACAAGTTATTCGAACCAATGAACAAGCAAGTAGTGATCAACAGGGACGTATCATAGAAGAGCTTAAGGAATGGAATTGGACTGAAAATGTAAAGAAGGATTTAGTGAGAATTTTATGTGAGAAACCAACAAGTGAAGTCAAAAGAGAAGTTTGAGAAGAAGAAGTCAAAGGTTAAGCAAGCACAAGCAGACCTCAAAGAACAAGACACATGCTTGCAAGGTTGCAAAAATATGTGATTACATCAGATGATGTGGTCAATGATAAAGGTGAGCTGGTACACTATGATTTTTGTACAGATGTCAAACTAGTCAATGCAGCTGAAGCATTAAAGGATTCAAAGTGGAAGAAAGCAATGAATGAGGAACTGAAGTCCATTGAAGTTAACAACACTTGGTCACTTGTCAAATTTCCTCAAGGCAAGAAGGAAATCAATGTGAAGTGGGTATAAAAGGTGAAGTTTCCCAAAGGAGAAGTAACTCGACACAAGGCGAGACTTGTCGTGAAAGGATTTTTGTCAGAAAGAAGGAATCGACTTCGACAA